GGACGGGCCCCAGCGGGAATGCTGTTTTCAAGTGAGCGAAGTCATTTGCGGGTTACGATCATGCGCAGGTTTGCGGGTTACGATCACGGCGCAGGCGCGGAGGCGTTTGGCGATGGATTTCTCAGCCGTGAATGAATAATTTGCGCTCCCGCTTGGGCAGTGCCTTAAATAGGGTCCCTTTATCAGTTTGCAGGTAAAAAAGCCATGGGTTCAAATTTGCCTGGTGCCTTTAAGAGTTGAATTCAGCTCTTGCAATTCTAAATTCATGTCTCATTATCAAAAAAGTGTCGTGTCGAGCAGGAACTTGCAATTATCTCACTTATGAGTGCAGCTTGAGACGACTTCCTAGAATCTCTTTGTTTGTAGAGTTCCCAGACACTGACGTGGTAGCGCTTGAGTTGTGTCTGCTCTGCGCGCTTAATTGAAGCGGCAAAGTTTATTTCTGAACTCGCCAGATGTTTTAGGTCTTGGCATAAACTCAAATGACGAATCATGATGTCATGAAGTTGTAATGTAAATTTTATTTTATCTTATTTTTGTTTTAGAAAGAACATCAACTCTTAGCTGAAGCGCTATTGGAGTATGAGACCCTTTCTGCAGACGAAGTGAGGCAGGTGATATCAGGGAACAAAATCAAGGTGACGATTTTAAGCAGTCTTATGTAGACATCCTAATATACCAAAATTTTATCACCTCGTACCCCAATTTAGCGACCAACGCCAGCAGCGGTGAAAAGAAGTAATGAGACTCGCCAGCAGCATACTCCACTCGTACACATTCATATATTAGAGGAAGGAAGGAAATGATGGAGTCACATAATTGCGAGGTTCCTACTTGTTGCAATCATGGTTTCTTCTCGTCTTGGCTTTTTATATGAGTCACATAAGTATTTATTTTGGCGTTTTGATTGTAGCGCATAGATTTCTATAGATTTTTGGAGTTGTGGAGTTACTTTGTGTGTTTTTCGAGTTTTGTTTCTAGATTAGGACTCCCTTTTTGGTCATTTGCTACGAGGAAACTGGTACTGTAACTCTTAAAAATTTAGTCGAAGGTGCAGGTCAAAGTATGCGTCTTAGCTTGAGCTTAGAGTTTATTGCTTTGTGTGCAGAATTTACGCGCTGCGGTTGGACTGTGCCTTTCATCCTTCTTCGAGTATTATTAGCTATGTATCTGACAGAGTCTAATTGTTCATTTATTCGCTACCCGTCTGGGGTTTGGCTTGTGTAATCGCACTTTCCGTCATAAATATATTTTGTTTAGTTTTCCGTCTTTGGCTGTGATTTTACCTGTAAGTCGTGTTTTTCTGCAATCCTCTGCGGCATGTTCCATCTACGCCACTGCGGCTCTATCCGCCTTTCTTCCTCTACGCGTGCGACGTTTCCATCCTTTCGCTCAGATTTCTATATCACTAATCACGATCATAGTTCTGCTGTCTTTGTTGCTGATGTGTTGAGCATCTCGATCACTGGAAATGAAAATAAAAATGTAGCCGAGTGTTGTAAAACTATTACTATGGGACTTATGATTTGTTCGTGTGTTGCACCCAAGCCAGCTGTGCATACGGAGTTTATAGGTCATTTCAATAAAAGAATGACAAAGTTACTAGCCAGACGACTCATCAAGCAGTCCTGGAAATCATATGGGCAAACCGGAACCTCATGGCTAACAAGTCTCCTCAATCAATCATAATTAACAAGAGTTGTGCTTCGTGACTGGTATATCAGCACAATGATCTTGATATAGAAGAAAGGAGACAAAGAATTGCATGCAGCCTTCCCGGATCGAAAAGTGTTTGAGAAGGTAAGGACAAGGCCCTATGAAGTCACATGGTAGGTCTC